AGAGAGAGAGAGAGAGAGAGAGAGAGAGAGAGAGAGAGAGAGAGAGAGAGAGAGATGTAAGAACGGGCGAGAGAAGGCAAGAGATACTAGGAGAGAGCGAGAATCACAACAGGAGGGGCGTGCGAAAGGGTAAGCTTGAGGCAGAGGTATACCTGATGGAAATGCCTCCCCAACCGAAGCCGATGTCGAGCAAGCGGTGGTGCTTGGACAGCCTGGCCCTCGCGATCAGGGCGTCCGCCTTTCGCTCCTGCGCCTTCTCCAGCGACCCGGAGAGGACTAGCTCGCCGCCAGGGCTAAAAAACACAAGAAAAAACACAGACCCAAAAGAATCGAAGGAACGTGTGGGTGTGGGTGTGTTTGTCCCACCTATTCTGGCTTGTCCCATGCATTCTGGCGCCAGTCTGTCTACCCACCGTTCGGTGCACATCTCCTGACATATGTATCAGCCGGGGTCACACAGAAGGGAAATAACGTGCAACCAAAACACGCGAACGCGGGGGGAAACTGAATTGAAGTAGAAATCGTTAGATCACCGCATTTTTTCTATCCCTGGGCTCGGTGAATACCGAGTCGATTGCCGAAAGTCAACATGCGCCGGTGCGTTCATAAAGCGGGCAAGGCAAGGGGGTAAGCACGGACTGTCGGGACACGAGGGTTGGCATTCGCCGAGCGAGTCCATCCATCCAACGCAGCCCGTTGTTGTGGTTTTGGTCGAGATTAGAATCCGTCGTCAAGCCGACAAAACAAACTCTTGTGCTCACAAGGGGGCACACAGTTTTTTGTTTAAACATGTTTCTTACTTGATTCTTGTATACCCGCCCCCCCCCCTGAGCGCCTCTGGAGGGGGGTTACGTGTCGGGAAAAAAAATCTTGTGCGCCCTTGGTGCTGACACTCAAAACCCTCCTGTAGTTGTTTCCAAGGGTGTGTTTGGTAAGGTACATACCGAGGCGTACCAGCGGTATTATACCTCCGGTATACCGGACCGAGATGTTCGGTACGTTCGGTATGGACTTCAATACCTTACCGAAAATACCGGTACGTTCGGTATGGACTTCAATACGTTACCGAAGTTTTCGGTAAGTCCGGTACAAATACCGAGATGTTCGGTACGGTACCGGTATTAATTGTCATACCATACCGGGATGCTCGGTACGTTCGGTACGGATTTCAATACCTTACCGAAAATACCGGTACGTTCGGTATGGACTTCAATACCTTACCGAAGTGTTCGGTACGTTCGGTACGATGTGAATACCTTACCGAAAACACCGGTACCGTACCAAACACGCCCTTGGTTATGTTTCCACCCACAATGTGCAGCAGTACCTGCCCATGTCCGCTTGGAAGATCCCACAGCTGTATAGCATGTAGTCCGCGTCGAGGAAGGTCTTGAACAGCTCGTTCGACAGGTCATAGTGAGCCTCGATATTTGACCTGGAGTGAGAATAGTATTATGGCACGTCGTTCAGTCACGACAGCAAACAAAATGCACATTAGAGAGAGAAGACAGACAGACACAATTCTCTTCTCTGATCCGTGGTACGTGGAAGTCGTCGCTACACCTCATCAGGACCGGAGCGATACACATCTAAATAAATCCTGGCCTAGGATGAAAGCGACGCGCTGCAAAGCTCGTTGTTAGCAAACCATAGTCGATTTCGTAAGTCGTGAGGGATGGGATTGCTGTACCCTTCTCGCGATAAAAATACCTCAGGCAGGAACCGCAGGAGGGGGTCCAGCCCCCCCCTCCTATGTGACCCCAGTTGGGTCGTCTAGCAAGTAGAAGTGGAGGATAGGGGCCAGAGGGGCAGACGACAGAATCCGATGATGGAAAAAAAAAAATATACCCAGACTCCACAATGAAACAGGCACAACAAAAAACGGGATCCATTCATGCGTACAAGCGGTACATGTCCGTGGCTCGTGGAGAAGCGACCTCTCCGCCAACGCCGGAGCGAATTTCGGACGAGGAGTCACGAGACTTATATTTTCCGAGTAGGGATGCGCTCTCACGTGTGTGGTGTACCCAGCAAAGGAGAAAACACCGGAGGTTCTCAAGGACAAGGCACACAGAGGGGGGGTCCCTGTTTAGTGCCGGTTGAATAGTGCCTGGTGCCGGTATAGTGCCGGTGTTTTTCGGCGGGCACATGCTGAATTTCCAATTCATTGTCAGTACTTGGAGTGGTGCCGGTCTGGCATGGTGTCGCCGAATTTTCTGGGCACGTTCCGGCACCAAACAGGGACCCCCCTATTAATTTTACGTGCGTTGGTACACTTTACACACGAGAGGAGTGTGAGCGAATAAAGCTTCTTCGACGTTTCCAGCACCGGCGGCAAGCTCCTGATATCCCATAGGGCACGGTGGCGGAGCTAGCCAGAGCATCCTAGAATCAAAGCATATACCTTGGACAGTTCCCTTTATCAATTCTATAGACACGGACATCAAACGACCCGTGTATCAAGGTAGGCGGCCATAGATGACGAGCAAAGAGCTGCTGGGCATTTGCCCCTCGGCATTGGGGGCCGTGTTGGGTCACCTTGCGTTTGAGTACCTGGGGGGGGGAGGGGTTGTAGTGCGATGTACGGTGCAGGTGTACCACACCTCACGCCCTGCCTCACCTGGAGCCACTGAGGCTGTTATCCATGCTCAGCTTATACCGAAGGTAGTTCAGCCCGTACCCTACCCAGCTCGTCAGGAGCTTCCCCGCCTGACACACGTGGCACAGGTAAATGTAGCATGCGAGGAGAAAAAAAAACAGCAGCAAAAATAGGGAGGGACGATGAGGTGCACACAACGAAAGAAGGCCGATTGAGCCCTAAGCAAACACAGGTGGGAATTTGAGGCAGGCAAGCAGGCAGGGGTTGTGTATTGTAACAATAGGCACTACTGCTGTAGCTAATAACCACGGTGGCTGCGACGGAGGGAGAGACAGGCATGGACGATCGGGAATGGAGACCCTTGGCTCTGCCCTATAGATTGGGCTGGGTTTCGTGCACGCTGTGTAAAACAGGCACCAAACGGGGTGGTCTGTACTGCAGATAAAGAAAAGAACGACGAGGCCAGAAGGAAGAGGAAGAACCTTGACGGGATGTGATGGAAAGTGACTCACACGATCGTATGGCATGCCACAAAACAGAAGACTATTTTAACGCAAAAACAAACGGGTGCCGCGCGCATAACTGCACCGTCTGTACCTTCATCCCACCGCTTCGGCCGTGGGTGTCCGTGGAGACGTCTCTGTTATCCACGAAGAAGAGGAAGATCTGCCTCAGCCCGTCGTGCTCCTCGTTCTCACCGACCACCTCCCACTCGCCCGCTAAGTACGACCTGTCCGTGTTTTGGAAACCAAACCACACAAGGTTGGATGGAAGGGAGCCAAAGAAAGGGTAGGAAGAGAAAACACGAGAGATTCCATCCCCGCCGCAACTTTGGAGGAGGTGGAGGCAAGATTCAGGGGCACACCTATGATAGACAGGGAACGGGAGGCGGGGGGGGTCTACTCATAGTCGTGCATGCCGTAGTCGTTAGACCATTGACCTCGCATCCCTACAAAGCCGGGACGGAGCACGCCGGGTTCTCACCGGACCAGGCTCTCACATCACCAAGCGCGAAGCGCCGTGAGATATTCGGCGAGTCGCATGAAGGGTGCGCTGCATCCTGCTAAGGGTGTTCGGCATCTTGTGCTTACTTCCTTGCGTACGGGTGACAGCTGCGTATGACTGAACTTATTTTCTGGTGTTTTCGCTTCCAGAGACAGTTATAAGCACTGTGTAACTGCCTGGAGGGTGCTTGACCAATTCAACACAACGTGGTGCGATTATCCCCCTTGCGCGGAGTGAGGGTTCTCCACCCCGCACAACATGATCCACTCGACTACCATTATAGTTACCGCCAAAAAAACAGAGGTAAAAAATAAAAAAAGGTGACCTGGTTGCCGAGTTCACGAAGTGAATTGGCTTGTATTACGGGGGGGGGGTTGGAAAGGACCTTTTGTGGAGGGTTCACGAGACAGAAGGGAGCGGGAGAAGACGCTGCAAAAATTGTCACAGGGTCACAGGACACAAACAGCCTGCGGCGGAAATTTTGAAATGAAAAAGGGGCAACCATCTTTACCGCCGGAGCCGACAGAACAAACAGGGCGGCTGAGACGGGGGAGCAGGTCCTTGCTTGATCCCCCCCCACTCTGGCCCTCGGAGATGCCACTATCTGTTTCATGCAAGATATCCAAGGAAGGGAGGGCTGCCCGAAGCAAGCACCCAGACCAAACAACCACGCAAAGCAAAAACAAAGACGCGAGGCAACACGCGAGAAAGAAAAGGCACACATGTGCATATTTATGCCGAGGAAAGGTGTGGAACGGTTCGTCCTAGCCCACGTGCGGTCATCCAAACACAAGACACAAAAGCATACGCCGAAAATAAAAGACACGCATACACACTAACGCTACATATTTTTTGAGTGAAACGGTCTCCTAATTGCACGTGCGGTCATAAAGACACACACACACACACACACACACAAACACACACACACACAAACACACACACACACACACCTTGCTAGGCCGAGGTCGTACTCCATGGCCACCCTCACGAAGAACCACCAGTCGAACACGCGGATGGCCACCCTCCTGCCCCCCTCGCCGGAAGACGTCCCGTCCCCCCCTTCCCACCCCGTCCCGGCATCAGCCACGCCGGGGTCCCCGAACTGCAGCTCCCGGCCGTCCGGGCACGAGATGGTCATGCACCCCTTGGCTACGGTCCGCCGCAGGAACGCGCAGATGGCCCGGACGGCCACCGCCTCCACCATGGAACCCCCCCACTCGGCCACCCTTCTGGTCCAGGCCGTCCGCCCCAGGGAAACCCGGGACTGCGGGAGAACCAAACCCCGGGTTTGCGACGAAGGCGGCGGCGGGGGCGGGGCGGAGGAGGCGTGACCCTCCGCGCCGGAGGGAGACGGCGGGAGGCTGGAAGCCGGCGACGAGGAGGTGGTCGGGGATCTGGGGTTCGCGGTGCCGGGGGTGGCCGCCGAGGTTGCTACCCACGGCACCGCCTTCCCGGTGATGCCCGCCGCGGCCTCGAGCCCCGATCTCAAGCCGTCCTGAGGGAAGCGTAAGTTCCAGCGGCAGCAGCAGCAGGAGCAGCAGCAGTGTTCGCGTTTCATTCATTTCAAGTCACGCGTGAATTTTCATAAAACGGGATGAACGGGGTGAGCGGGGGGCGGAGCGGCGTGTAAGAAGAGGCGCACCGGTTTTCCGTCTGAGAGTGAAAAAAGAAGGAGGGTTTGTTTGGTAAAAGGGGCAAGAGGGGACCCGGATCTACTCGGGGGGGGGGGGGGG